GTCACTGGAGTTTCATAATTTTGCCACTTCCACAGCACTCCTTATCAGTACATCAACAACAAGTAGCTGCTTAATGTAGCACATTATCTACTCATCTGTTATCTATACATAATGTCAATTACTTGTACAATGAATGATATCAGTATAAAAATTTACAAATATTTCATTATGTGTTCATAAAAATATAAAATGACATTTGTTTATCATCATCATCCCTGTAATAAAACCATTAATTAAAATACGTTTTGTAAGAATTTCTAAATCTGTGAAGTATATTAATTTCATTTCAGGCCAGTTCAGTGATATAAAAAAAAAACTTTACATCTTCCATCACTAACAATTACATTAGTCATGTGTTGGGTGTTCTGAAAGTGATTCTTTTAAACAGTTTACAAATTCACCACAACCATGAATAAAAGTGGAGGTACAGCTCCAGACATTCTTAACCTTGGCTACAGATAAAGGTGTGACCAGCTTCATGGCCCAGCAGATTTACTCCAGGAAAAGAGCTCACAGTATTCACTTGATAGAGGGCTGGATGGACCTGAGCCAATATGGACACTGCAGAGAAAAACCTCTTGCCCCTGCCAGGAATAAAACTGATTCTGCAGCCATCCAGCATTCAGCCTAGTCACTATACTGACTGAACTCTTACTGAAACCTACTCAATGTATAAAATTTAAATTAATTCTTATACAGAAAGAACTGAATCAATACCTAGGCCAAAGATCTGCAACCATAGTTGCAAACAATAATAATAACAAAACTATCAGATCTCACAAATGTACATGATGTATACACTGTTTATATTCAGTGCACTAAACACCTTCCACAATACACTAGTGATGCTAGTCTAGCTGCTAACGTTATAAAAATGAGTCCATACTCATGACTTACAGTCCCTCCTGAGCTGTCCCATATTAGTCCTGGGTAATTAATATTTGGTGTAGAAATTTCTGTGAACAAGAAATTCAAATTCAGAGCCACTGTAATTATTCCATGTTGCTGCAAGTGTAGAGAAATGTACTATTCTCAAACACAGCATTACCATCGCAAGAAACAAGCGCTTGACAATACTGCAAAAGTTACTCACAGCTCTGTGGCAGGAACACTCACATCCCACAAATCAACATGTTCACTTTTACCAGAATAACACCCCTTCCTGGCATACTGTCAAGGTGCCAGAATGTTTTTTTAAAAACTCATAAGCCTACCACTACAGCCTCCATTCACATCACGGCCTTGCATAAAGTGAATCAACAGTGTACAGTGCAGTTTTACACAAGAGCGCTTCTAAAGGACGCTTTGCCGCATCATTTCACAGCATGAAAACAAACATGCAAAAAATATGCAGAACTCCAGTGTAGGCTATAAAAAAGTTTCATTCCTGTACCATGTGCCACTTCTACAATTTAAACTAACCACAAACATTAATACAAATCACAACCCTTATCTTATGGTTGGTTAAAGGCAGCATTTCTACAATAGCCACTCCAATACTTTCCTGCCATCTACAACCAGTTCCACCATGGTATCATCACATGACACCTGACTACAATTTTGTAACAACTGCTTTTATCCATGCAATCTACGCACTGCACCAAACTTATCCTGACACAATGTTCTCAAATTTTGAGCTTATCATTATATACAGACTGACTATGTAACTGTCATCACGTACACACTACAAATGTCATGTACAAGGTGTGACAATTTAATTTGCCCTGTGAAAGCAAAATTTGCTTACCTGTTCACTAGTGGCTGCTGTCACCTTTGAAATACGCTCCTTGTGAAGCTATGCACTTCGTGAGATGATGATGCAACTGCCGGGAAGTCTTGAAAATCGTTTTCTGGAATACTTCACAGCAATGTTGTCACATTGCGTTGGATGTCAGGAATGTCAGCGTATCTTTGTCCCTTCAGGGCATTTTTCAATTTTGGAAGGAGCCAAAAATCACAAGGGCGAAATGAGGTGAATAAGGTGGATATCCCATTTCTGTATTGACTTTCTTAGCCAGGAACTTGTGAACTCTTAATGCATCACGCGCAGCGGAACTGTCATGGTGGAGACTCCACTTGTCAGGCCAGAGTTCAGGTCTTTTCCTCTGAACAGATTCCTGTAACCTTGCCAGCACTTCCAAATAACACTGCTGATTCATAGTTTATCCTTGTGCAATGAATTCATAGTGAGCTATCCCCTTGTGAACGAAGAAACACAAAAGCATACTCCTGAATTGCAAGCAAGACATGTGTTCTTTCTTCACTGCAAGCTCGGGCATTTTGTTTCTGGGTCATATTGAGAACACCACACTTCATCATTAACCCTTTGACGTGGTTATTTAAATTCCGCGGCCGCGGCTCCTGCGGTAATATATTCAGCCGGCCATTTAAATTTTGCTCGAAAATTATTTATTCATCATTGTTCTTAAATTCTATGAGATAGGAACATGAAACTTTCACTAAAATGATCTTAAATGGTGGTTTTATAACCTTACCTTATAATATGGGCGCCCTGTATCTCGGCCATGGAAGCAGGTTGTTTAGTATTTCAGCAGTGAATGGTACGCCTTGAAGGATGAAACTTTCACTAAAATGATCTTAAAAGATGGTTTTTGTAACCTTACCTTATAATATGAGCGCCCTGTACGAGTATCTCGGTAATGGAGGCAGTTGGTTTAGTAGAAGGAAGGCCTTGAAGCATTCGTATAACCCAACGGTGCCCCACATTCACCATTCTCCGCTCCAATATTGTGNCACAGAATTCATGAAGTTATTCTAAGAACTGTCTGGTATGTAGTGAACGAAAGTAGAGCTTAGCTGGCTCAAAAAAATATTTATGGTCATCCCTCGAAACGACCACCAAGGTCAGTACGATAAAATGGAGTCAACTGGAGCGATAATACATGAAGGAATGAGTTCTTTTCCCTCCCCCACACACATCCGTATCCTCTCAGGGGGTGACCACAGTGTTCTGCCTTAAATTGTGGCGTTTTTCTAAGAAATGGGTGCTATGTACTGTGCGAAAGCAATCGATTTTGCTAGCATAAATTTTTGTACATCCCTCTTCTAAGAATTCCAATTGAGTGTGTTTGTGTAGCCAGCTCAGGGCAATACGATATCATAAACACCAGGCCATATCACATCTCTACTGTTTATAGCTTCAGAGCAAAGAAAACACATCATTCATAACAGAAACAGCTCGCAATAGCCACAGGAACGTTGCTGCAAGACAGGCATATGTAACAACGACTTAGCGCTCTTAAACGCGTGTGTCAATAAATACAGTCCTCCTGACAACAGGCCAGTGAAAAATCTAACAATCTACAGCAAAACCATCAATTATTATGGGCGTTATAACATACGTGTGCAGCTGGACGAAACATACACGCCGAACCCCCCCAGACGATTTAAATCCCAGACGAAGCATACACGACGAACCACGGCAACGGGTTAATGACCCTATCAAACATCTCTGAACTGTTTAAAACATCAGATGAAATGTGAAGCCAATGCTGTTTCTGGTCATCTGTCAAAATTCAAGGCACCAACTTTGCGGAAACTTTTCTCATTCCCAACCCATTCATAATACTCTGTCATACTGTTTCTTTATTCATATTAAATTTTTCTGCTATTAGTCTCACATCTAATCTTCGAACTGAGTGCACCAAGGTGCGTATTCTGTCCACATTTGCATCTGTCCTTTACATTTTTGGCTGCCCACTTCTTGGGACATCTCGCAGACCTTCTCTACCTTCCCTGAACCGCCTATGTCATTTAAAAACACTCAATTTCTTCAAATCGTATTCACCGTAAGCCACTGTTAAGAGGGATAACCTTTCACTAGCACGTTTACCAACCTTCACACAAAACTTGGATGTTTATCCGCGGCTCCAGATTCTTGTCACTCATTTTTCTGTCAACAGAATACCGCGGACACATACCACTTCTCTCCTGCTTGGGAACGAACAACTTATTTGGTCCATGGCTCATGTAAATGCAAGTTGGAACATGTCCATATGTGCTTGGATACATGAGTTTGTCTAACTCAACATCCCAGCGACAAACTGTGGCCATTCCGGTAATTAAATTTTCGCACCTTGTACATTACCAACTCAGCATTTTACCTCACATCACTGCAATGTACACACATATTTTTCTACCATAAGAGCAATATACTCCACAAGACCTATTTATTCTAAATTGCCCCTGTGCAAAGTAATCAGAGAGTGAATATTATTAAACTACATATTGCTAAAATTAAGAAAATAAACAAAACAAGTCACAAACCTACCGATGCAGGAAAAATATGAGAGCAATGATGAGAATAGGGGCCATGCTTCCTGAAACCTGAGTAGCATCACTGGTCCGGGACTGACCGCAAGCCGGTGGGCACACTGGGATTATCGACTCTGCAACCGATCAAGCAATGCCATGGCATGGCAGCAGTTCAAATAAGAGACATATTCCTCTACTAAATTCATTCCCACTGCATACTTCTAAGCAAAAGCATAAAAACAGCAGAAACAAATATCACAGGCATTTTGTGCTCTCCATTAGCCTCACAGCAACAAAATAATACATAACAGCATATTAGACACGACAAAATCTGGAGAGAATACAAAGTCCATCTTAAGCCATTACATACTCAAGTGTTCTGAAAAAGAACTGAGGCAAACTATCATAAAAGCAGATGGTCCCAGTGACCACCATATCACTGAGCTTCATGTACATCCAATGGACAAACAGTGAAAGTTCAGTACCATGAAAATTACAGTAAAATAAACAATATTAAGTACATTATCAACTTAAAACATTCAAGGCAGAACCACAATGTAAGGTGCTGGGACAGTTTTGCTACTGGCAGGACAAACCAAAACATGCTTTGATTTACACTGCATTTCCTATACCTGTACACTTTTAATTTTTCATTATACATATGAAACGCCTGAGCACAGGTCTAAGTGGATTTCCCAATACATGGATATTTCTTCATTCATTTACTTCATATTCACACAAACAGCAAATGACACAAAAAAAAATCTATTATACATTTTAAAGGAAAAGAAACCAATGGAATACCCACTGAGGGTTCAACAGGAACCCTCTTCATTTGTTATATATGCCCTTTTTACTATTACTTCCCTTATTTTCTCCAATCTCTTTACAGTCTTACATGTTATCAACTGATGCACCAGGACTGATACTTAATGTTTTTAACCAACACCTATTTTCACTACACTGCAAAACTCACAGAAAAGTTACTTCTCCATGTATCTTTGGTCTCAGTTAATTAACCTTTAACAGCTGTGAACCACATTATTGCAATAGTGAATAAGAAGTTGTTGGGGTGGCTGAGCACTGCATTTTTTTCAATACTATACCATTACCATGGCCACCACCCTTGCACAAATGGGAGACTTAAGATCCTATTTCCTAGACAGTAAACTGTCACACCAAATTACAAATTGGCCAGACAACACAAGAGTACTGAGATATTTAAAAATCTTTTATTCCTGGACATTGGTCTTCATCCCCCATCTAAAATATGGCCTCTAACCATGTAGTAACATGAGATTTAAAATACCTATTGTGAAAAAATGAACTTTTATGGATGTCAAACCTTTGGTATTGGATGATTAAAAATTTAAAATGCTGGATGATAAAAAAAGTTAATATCTGTAGAAAATTCCTCCAGTTCTAGTCTCTTATGAATTTATCTTGACCTATCACCCATCAACTATTGTGCAGGCAAGCTATCCATCCAGACTTATTCTAGCACCACAATGCATGAACTTCCTCTTGCAAGCTACTGAGCACTATTTTTTTTTTTTAATTTGCTTAGTGGGGGTAGAGTCCAGTGGCATCCACTCGGAACAGCGGCCACTGATTGGCCTACTGTACCTGTCCTGGGTGATTATGATGGAGAATTTGGTGGAATGAAGATTGGCAGGGGAAACCGAAATACTCGGAGAAAACCCGCCCCAGTGCCACTTTGTCCATCACAAATTCCACTTGACCAGATCCGGGATCAAACCTGGGCTGCCGCGGTGGGAAGCCAACAACTAACCACTTGACCTATGGCGTGGCCGCCACCCCCCACTAAGCGAATTCATATGTAATGTGTAAAGGCTACTGGCCTGTCAACTATGCAAGGAGTATAAGGAATGCAAGGTAACACGTTTGTCGTTTGTGTCCTTTTCCAACCAACTGACCAAAGGATTTCAAACAACTTCCCTGTACACACTATGATACTGACAAGGAAGCTAAACCACATCTGAGGCCAAGAATGAGTACTTCTACTTGTCATACACAAAACAAAATTAAATACTTATCCATTAAGGAATATTTTATTTTTGGTTACATATATGTTTAACATAACACAATGTTCTTTGTATTGTTCAATCTTGCTATATGAAAATGCAGACCAAACCACTTTTCTCTAGGGACAACCATGCAATTCTTCTGGGTCAACTTTAATCCTGCAGTAATCATGCACTTAAAAAGGCCTTACCAAATAGTTCGACCCTTGCTTCTGCAGTTCCCAATTTGTTTGCAGCTTTGCACACGTACTGACCATACTGTCGCTTCTCAATTGTTATGATACGTATTGTTGTATCAGTAAACTCATCAGCAGTGGCAAAATGGGATATACTGTAATATAATACACAGATACTATAAATAAAGTATGTCCAACAAATCCATAGCTCATGCAAGGATCATACACATACAGGGTCTTTCTAAAATATCTTCCAGTTTCAATTACATGTATAATTACCTAGTTAGTTAGTTATTGGAGAGGGTGGGTTTCCCCATGCACTGAGACCAGTATTGGTCCACTGTGCTTCCCTCTATGATATTCTACCAGTCTCTATACCCTACCGATATTGGTGCGTACCATCAGTACTGACCGAGCCAGCGAGTTTGGCCTCTACTGGCTTGGCGGTATCTATAATGCTTCCCCCATCTATCAGAGGCATTAGAGACTACTGTTGGGCGGGAAATGTCCTTGAATTTAGCTCAGTGACCTCCTTTGGAGATATGAGGTTCTTTTACGTGCCATAAAGCTACGACATGGGACCCACAGCTTAAAGTCCCTCCCGGAGGACTTGTTCCCTGAATTTTTCCGCCCTTAAAAATTCCATGACCTCCACCGGGTTTGAACCCGTGTACCATGAGTCATGAGGTGGGAAGGTTACCTCTAGACTACGGAGGCCGCTTATAATTACCTAACTACATAGCAAATATCATTGATGCAAAGGATGATTGTCACATAAACACATTTTCAATGTGTGCATCTATCAGCATCCATGACCATCTGAAGCTAATGTAGGATATTTCAGGCAACTGCAACTAGGGTTTTTTTCACAGCTGCTGATCACAGCCGTTGAATTTTAATCGTTTCTTCCATCCTGTTGTGTGTTTAATTAATAGTAGAGTGAGTTTACCCACTACACAACATGTTTTTTTATTATTAATTATTATTATTATATTAAAAAACGTGTTGTGTAGTTGGTAAATTCACTCTACTGTTACAGCTGTTGAAATTTATTCTCTCTGTTCTTCAACTCTGCACAGATCGGTTTTGTAAACCGTATTTTTCAGAAAGCCCCATAAGAAATAACAGCATGTTCTCAGATCTGGAGACCAGGACTATCCATATCTGAACCATTCAGCAAAACGACTGGACAATACTGACAATAAAAAATGGACTGAGTAAATCAAACCCTGTTGACAAAATGTTTCTCCCAAACTGATACCTATTCCTTGAAAAAATTAGGAAATTGTTCTTGATGGATACTGGAAGTGACAGTATTGTCAAAAAACTCAGCCCAACTATACCACCTGCTGACAGAGCACACCACACCATGTATTGTTTTATGGGTGTAACAGTTTCTCTGTTATGTTTCACAAGTATTCACTGGCCCATAATGCATAACCTGCTTTCTCATGTAGCCATTCTAATGAAAATGGGCTTCACCACTAAACCATTTGGAGGCCCTCAAACGATTGCAGTCTGAAATTATTTTGCATGTTGATCATGCTCTCTAGGCAAGATGCCAAGAAAGGTGTTTTTCAGATATCTTGAGGCTGTGTTCCAATGCCTGCTTGACATGGTGAATGTTTTCTGGTGTTCTGACACTCTTCTTCTTGCCAACAACATCCCTCTTACTGTCAATCATACTTCCCAGCCATTTCACACTTTTAACTTAACCGTTATTGTTTTAAATTTTGTGGGGTGGTGATGAGACTTGAGTCCACTTGGTATGTTGGCCACTAATTTGCGTGTTGTACCAGCCCCAGAGAGATGAGCATGGAGCATTTGGCACAGGGAACCGAAGTACTCACAGAAAACCTGCCCCAGTGCTACTTTGTCCACCACATATCCCATATGATCTGACCTGAGATTGAACCCGGGCCGCCATGGGGAGGAAGCTGACGACTAACTGCCTGAACTAATGCAGAATCACGTGTGTAATTTAACAAGAGAATGATAGTATCATCACAGGGAGCATCCTGCACACATAAAATCATAAAAACCTGGGATACATCACTCTCCAAGTAAACAACCTGTTGGATGATACACAGAATAATGAGTATAGGCTCCACAAGATCATAGCACGGTCAAAACCACATGACCCAATTTATGAGAGAAGATCCTGATACACAGGCACCCCAAACTTTTAATTGCTTCTACCACAGGATAAGCCTATCAACATGTAGTGGTCACAAAGTTTTAAAGAGATTTATCAAAAAATATCTTATTTCTGTACAATTATAATGTTAATATTTAATTCTAAATTTCACTAAATCTTTAAGTTTTAACTGAAAATTAAATTTATGCATTTAAAACTCACAAGAACACAATATGGATCCATACTGAAATTAGATGCAACTAAAGAACTAGGACTAGTATCATTGTATGCATGTTGATGGCCCAATATAAGGGCCGAAACATGTAGTTCACATTACCTCCCTTTAAATTTTTTTTGACAGAAATTTGTGACAAATTTACAGACATATTTTTGGCACTAATCATAACATGTGGCTACATTTCCCCACCTGACATAGTATTTACTCTTGATCTCACGAGAATTACATAAAGTACATCTCTATGCATTCCATCACCAGCTTCCTAACATTCGTAATTCAATGAGACTGATATGGAAGCAGCCACAAACCTGTAGTGCTGATTATTTGACAGCTGAACATCATCCTTAATCCATACAATAGCAGGAGGTGGGTATGCTTCAACATGACACTCCAGATCCATGTCATACTGAAGTGCCTGTCCAAGCCTTGGGCGTGGAGCTGAAATCACTGGAGCAAACTCAACTTCAACAGCAATGTTTCTTCTTGCACCTTTGCCCACACCATTCTCAGCCACACAGTAGTAAGTCCCTCTGTCCTCTTTGTGAATCCTTGATATCTTCAAAATATTCCCTCTAGAAATAATCAGGAAAATAAATGGAAAGTCTGCTCTAAAAATTTAAATACAGTTAATAAAATGAAACAAATCTGTATACCAGGAAACAATACTGGGTCCTGGATATAAAAGCAATAAATTCTTCATGTTTAGTGCAATCTGCAAGCATCAGTCTGGTCTCCATGTACCCTGATTATGAAGATCCCATTTAAAATGTTTACCCACCTACCCACCCCTTCACTGTAGCCACAACTGTTTGTGGGGAAGACTGGGGCTGATAGGTGGGGCACCGATTTATGAGCCAATCAAAATCCGAATATTACCATGATATGAACAGCACAAGTTTGGATAAGAGTAGCTGGGAAAAAAACTTATTCCCAGTCAGCCACCAGTACCAGATAATGCACAATATGACAGTACAAGAAAATGAACCTCACACTACTTTACATTGTAAGGCAATATTATAATGTAACTCCAAAATAATAAAACTGTCACCGATCTGGAATTAACAAAAAATGAACTGCACTCTGTGAGACCATACAAACCACAACCTATATTGCACAGAAGGATTCTTCTGCCTTGTGATTTCTCTGTACCACCGTGACTTAAACCCTAGAGAATTGACCTCTATTTCTTTAACGCCTTTTGAAAGAAATGACACAAGACAGTCTGGAAAAAAATAAGAGGGTAAGTCAATAGGAAAGTTGCAAATGGATACAGAACTTAAACAAATAGAAGTACTGATTTGAAAAATGCTTTTATTTCTCAACATAATCTCCGTGTACACTGAGGCACTTGCCCCATCGTTTCACAAGCCCTTGAAAACCAGAAGCATAAAATTCTTTGGACTGCTGTTGGAACCAGGAGTGTTGCTCTTGCATGACAACGCGCATCTGCATACTGCCAACAAGACAAATGAAACTCTGCAAAATTTCAAGTGGGAAGTCCTTGAGCATCCTCCATACAGCCCTGACCTTCCTCCAAGCGACTTGTAATTGTTCGGCCCTCTTAAACATCATATTTTGGTCGAACACTTTCATGACGAGGAAGCTGTAGAAAGGGAAGTCACTGCCCGGTTCCGACAGCAGTCCAAAAAATTCTTTGCTGCTGGTTTTCAGGGGCTTGTGAAACGATGGGACAAGTGCCTCAATGTACAGGGAGATTACGTTGAGAAATAAAAGCATTTTTCAAATCAGTACTCTTATTTGCTTAATTTCTATATCCATTTGTAACTTACTTATTGACTTACCTACATAATAACCAAAGACTGGATAAAACGTCTGTAATCATCCGAAGACAACTGAAGAACAATACTGACACAGAGCTGGGTTATTGAAAGCAACTGAAAATATAATTACTGAACTGGTTGGCGTAGAGGTGATGCCTAAGATTGGTATTTGTGAGGTCCGTACATAATCTGAAAAGTCCAACAGACATGACATCTGAAGGGACTGACAGTCTGACAGACCCTGTTGATGTAGCTGATGGCTCATCTGTTTCCCAAGTTCAAACTGCTGAATAAAGCAAGAGCTGCCTTGAGGAAAGGCATGGCTATCCATTTATAAAGCTTTCACTGTCTAACTGCACGGGTCTTCATTTCTCTCTGCACTTACTATCCACAGTTGCAAGAACACACATAACAATTACAAAACATCCCAACAGGCATGGCAGTTAGTCACATCTTGGTAGAAAAATACTTACGTTTCTCATTCATTTTGATCACTGTCATTACCCCATCACTTTCACCATAATATGAAATATGTTTCATCAAATTACAAGTTCCACTGACTGATGAACCACTTTCAAAATGATGCTGCTGGTTAGTGACAAAGAAAGAAATGCAGAGCTTGGGTGTTAGATGTTAAACTAAAATTAAATATAGCCTAACCTATATCTTGATACCCCTATTTTTTTTTTTAAATTCTCCTCACCTGTAAATTGATCCACCTGTGGGCAGAATGGCATTGTTCTCCCTTCGCCATGAAATTCTGGGGGGAGGATAACCACCAGCGTAACACTCCAGCTTTACTCCCTGCCCCTCACTAACTACAAGTGACCGTGTTGAGTTATCAGAAATTATGGGAGGACGTCGCACTTGTAAATCAACTTCTGCAGATATTCTGTTGTTGAGAGAGATCAGGACTTGACACTGATAGTAGCCAGCATCTGTTTCTTGGATATCCTTTATCTGAAATAAATAATTCAATACAAATATAGTGTGGCACTCAATTAAGCACAGAGAAAACTTTACATTAGAAATATATGGACATATTTCTAAATAAATATCAGTGCTTTACTAAAACTCAATTAGATGCATTACTTGTTTAATCCAGTTAGCTGATGATATAGCAATCCTTATCAATGGGAAATTCCTTCAGACTGTGTCATTGGTCTTACAAACAGCCCTGTGCAGTTTAAAAATGGTGTGAAAGAATTTGTTTATCAACCCAAACAACATGGTAATTATACCCTTTACTAGGAAGAATATAAATGGACTTAAGGAACCAATCCTCTTCAGCACAACGATCCAGCTATCCATACAAGGGGCTGACATGGAAAAGCAGCTGGACAAGGTTATCAAGAAGGCTTTATGTGCAACACACACCTGACAAAGGCAGAGCCTATTCATAAGAGACAAACTTATCCGCTTGTCGGAGAGGATGTTATATAAGAACTCACTTATTTACTTCTGGAGCTAGGCCGCACCACAGCTCAAGTGGTTAGTCGCTGGCTTCCAACCGCAGCGACCTGGGTTTGATCGTGGGTCTGGTCAAGTGGGATTCGTGGTGGACAAAGTGGCGCTGGGGCAGGTTTTGTCTGAGTACTTCAGTTTCCCTTGCCCATATTCATTCCACCAATTGCACCACAATCACCCTCACCTATCATCTGGGGCTGGTACAATAGGCCAGAAGTGGCCACAGTACGAGGGACTTAGTCCCGCCCCCACTAGAAAAAAAAACTCCTGGAGCTGATCCCTTCTTGAGGAGAAGCCAAATCTGCAGCTACTCAAGAATTTCCCAGCATTTTATGGAATCCTAAGGTTCATTACTGTGCTCACAAGAGTCCTCCACTGGTCCCTATCCTGAGCCAGAACAATCCAATCCATACCATCCTGTCCTATCACTCTAAGATTGTTACATAAGGACTATGACCACAGAAGTTCAGATTGGGGGCAGGGGCAGAACTCTGGTAGTGAACTCTAGGGGACTGGCAGGAAACTGCCAGACGTACAGTAACTGTGACTGACTATGGTTCAGTCATTGACAGTGTTGCAGAAGCTGGCAGCTGAGGCTGGGGGCCGTTTGGGAACCCAGAGGAAAATGAATATCTACAGTTGGAAGCTGCTAACAAGCAGCACAGTGAAGACCGTGTGTAAGAGTGATCTGTGAAGTGCAGTCATGAACTGGGTGTTTAATAGCCCAATAAATCCAATTACCAACCCAAACCCTATCTACAGTCATGCAACACATGACGATATTTACACAAACACACATTTTCCAATACAGCTTCCATACCAAGGTTGACAAATTTTTTGAATGCAAAATGATGGTGGGTGAAATTAACATTTCGGGCACATGCATATAAAGTTAATAGAAAGTCCGTCGAGTGTAACAATTTGTAGGTCACTTTTTATTATTATTTCTGCCTTACATGTTTCGGTTTGACACAACCATCATCAGAGGCACTTGCTATAATTATGGACACACTGTACACACAGCAGTACACAACACACAGCACACAGGAACATATCAAACCGTAAGCCATACAACCTCAAGCTGACGTCTCCCATCTTCGGGATGAATTAACAAGGAGGAGTTCAGCATTTTATATCAAATATTTTAACATTTTAGCGTTTTAACTTAAAAATAGGTTCGGATGAAAAGTGAGAACTTGAGAGTGTACTCAACTATCTTAGCATACTTTGTGCTTTTACATGTCAACATATCGTAGCAGCGTCCACACGACAAACATAATTGTGAACATCTAAAACAGCGACAGTGTTTCCATAATTATAGCAAGTGCCTCTGATGATGGTTGTGTCAAACCGAAACATGTAAGGCAGAAATAATAATAAAAAGTGACCTACAAATTGTTACACTCGACGGACTTTCTATTAACTTTGTGATTGATAGTGTAACGGACCAAAATGAAACAATTAAAAAAGAAATGCATATAAATTATCCTTCCCGGCATAGTGGCTTACAGATACCCATTTCTGTCACAGTGCCTTTCCCTGTCCACCTACAGAAATCCATTTCAGTGCCGGCAACACAAAATTTTCAGAACCATGGCTCTTACACAATGAAATACAGTAAATGACATTCTTACCTGCAAAGTATACGTTGAGCTAGCTGTATCATACCTCAGAGAAAAACGACTGTCTCTGATAATTAGTGAACTTCCGGTGGATATTGGCAGTCCATCAGACTGTCTGCTACGATCAATCCTCATCCACAGGACAGGATAGTCCTGTGCATACTGGACAGAACATTCCAACTCTACTGTTCCTCCTATGTCTTTTATCTGTTCCTGCGAGATATATGAAATAGTTGGTGTCCTCTGAGATGAAACTGTAACACAGAACATGAATACAGAGCACTGCTGCAACAACTGCATCTACCATGTAGCTATACACTGAGACTGTGGTACAGTATTTCATTATAGTCACAAAACCTACTGGAACCATCAATTTCTTAACATCACACATATGTAAAACAACTTCATTAATAGACATGACTGTTATCCCCCAAATTTTGCACCAACAGTACTTGTCCACAGTAAATTATGACCGGCAGTCAATAAAGTCCCATTAACCCATCCTAACCCTGACTGGGAAAAACATGTATTTCAGAATATGACAGCAGCAGAAAAGTTTTGAGAGCTGAAAAATGTATACCACATGGCATCCTTAAAATTTCTTCGTCAGATAAGAAGCTTGTCTCAGTTTGTACTGTGTCCCTTAGTTTGTTTAGAGGCACTATGCACTGCCTTCCCCTTCCCCTGACTTTAAAACAAACAAGCAACAGAAAACAGCTAAACTTGTTTCAGGTTTGACCCTCATCATGTATGGTTTGATTTCTCGTGACACATGTCATGACTTTTCCACTTGAAAAATATTTCATGCCCTCATAAATGCAAATCTCGAGACTTTAAATGTGACACGAAAACTTGCCTTAATATTGTTCCTTTTTCCTGCGAGTATATATTTGTGAAATATGTTTCACAATCTCAAAATGTAACTGTGTAACAGACATAACAAGATGACACCTATGCTATGAACATAACAACACTGGCGTTGGAAATAAAGTGTTATAAGTATAAAGTATTATATCCAGATATGTTGCAGGTTTATATGCTTAACGAGTGTGGTAACTTATCTAACTTAATTTTATTATTATAAAAAGATAAAACAGTTCCATCCAGTGTGACTGGTGAAGATTTTTCTTACTTCAATCCTTCATGACCTTACATGTTTCGGTCCTTAGAGACCATCATCAGAGGGATATCGATACAGTTTGGAAACCACTATTACAACAGGTGTTCTGAGTGCTAAAATATATGTATATACAATACTGACAATAGACAAATGGGTACAAAATCCAGCCGACAATAGAAAAATGGGTACAAAATCCAAAGTTCTCACAACTACAGCGGCTGTCTTGATATATCAAAACTTTTTAAAATTTTGTTAGTTAAGTTAGAATTTATAAACCAAATAGGTTCGTGTCCTCTCTCTTTTAATTTGCTCAGTGGGGGGTGGAGTCCAACTGGGTCCTCTCGGCATGGCAGCCACTGATTGGCCTATTGTAGCCTGCTCCTGGTGATTGTGATGGAGAATTTGGTGGAATGAAGATTGGCAGGGGAAACCGAAGTACTCGGAGAAAACCCGCCCCAGTGCCACTTTGTCCACCACAAATCCCACTCGACCAGACCCGGGCTCAAACCCGGGCCACCACAGTGGGAAGCCAGTGACTAACCGCTTTAACTATGGCAGGGCCATGTCCTCTCTCTTATCACCTCTCCTGATGGGGACCGAACTTGTGCTGCCTGTCTTTCTTGAGAAGAAGGTTCTGCAAATGTATTATGGGTATTGTATTATTTCAGCAACCCTATTATGTTTTTTTTATTAAAGGAGATTTGTTGTTTCGTCCTACCTTTGACGTCGTCCTGTGGTTGTTCCTACTGTTCTAGGGTGTGTTGTGCCACATACTAATACTTCTTGTGTCTGTGACGTTAGTGTGGGCGTGTACTGATGTTGTATTATGAGGTCGAACATGTTATGTTGGTTATTACTTTACTTTATGTGTTTTTGTTCTTCTATAAATTTTTGAGCTTATTAAAGCGATATACAGTAGAACTTGGTTATAACGTCATCAAAGGGACCTAAAAATAGTGTCGTTATAACCGAAATGGGCACTTCCACAGTAGCCTTATGTTAGTCACGTAAAAATCTACCAAAAACCGAGTTAAAATGTTGCATTTTTTAGTGAAATATGTAGTTAAGTATAGACTAACGTAACATTAACGTGGAATTAATATGGATTCTCCATATCGTTTGTACTGTAGAATTCACCAAACCAAATTCACGGCATACATCAGCTTTTTTCCTTCCATTTTCTATTTCACGAATCACTTTAACTTTCTCTTCAATGCTTAAAACATTCCTTTTCATTGCCATGTTTTCGCTACTGCACTTCTCTGGGTTTAGGCAAGAACACTATAGGGTAAGTAGACAATGTGAGGTCCTGCTAGACGAGATTCTAGGAAAGGCATGCAGTTAACAACCTGCCGCGTCCTCTTGCACTATTCACGCAGTCCCACCCCACACCCTTGTTTTCGCNCACACACACACACATACATATGGAAGTTTTCATTTATATTCATGATGCATGATTACTGTCATCAGTCCGTACTGGTGGTGTCTGTTTAGTATATGTTGGGCAAATGCTGATTTGTCTTTGTTAAGTGTTATGTGTTCCTTGTACCTTGTAAGATTTCTACCAGTTTGGCCGATGTATACTTTATGGAAGCTTTGGCAGATTATTTTGTATATCCCACTTTGTTCATAGGGGTTTGTTTCTTGTTTTTTATTTATTAGTTTACCTATAGTGTGAGTTGTTTTGAAAGCTATTATTTGTTTATTCTGTTGTAGTTGCGAAAACTCTGGATTTTGTATCCACTCATGTATTGTCGACATTGTATGTACATATATTTTAACACTCAGAATACCTATTGTAATAGTGGTTTCCAAACTATATCGATGTCCCTCTGATGATGGTCTCTTAAGGACCGAAACATGTAAGGGTATGAAGGACTGAAGTAAGAAAAATCTTCAACAGTTGCACTGGAAGGAACTGTTCTATCTTTTTATAATACTGTTAGTGTGACAGACCAGAATGAAACAAATCAAACTTAATTTTATTAGGTTAGAAAAATAACCAGTTATGGTTTCATGCATGGCTTATGTCCCTCTACCATAAGATGAATTTTAGAGTTTAGAAGTTAAGTATAATGGCTGCTTCACAACCATCTCTCATACATGTAACATCAGAAAATCGTGCATATTCCAAATGTGGCAGTAAGAACCCATAATGAAATTCATGTGTGGCAATTATTTGTAAGATCTAAATTGAATCATGTGCCCAGCTGTTACTCCAGTTTCATACCAGGTAACTAGCTTATTCTCATTTGTATGCATATGCAATAACTTGCAAGCATACTTACTTACTTACTTACTTACTCATGGAGCTGACCCCTTCTGGAGGAACTGCCAATTCTGCAGCTACTCAAGAATTTCCCAGTAGTTTATGGAACCCAAAGGTTCATTACCATGTTCACAAGAGCCCCCCACTGGTCCCTATCCTGAGCCAGATCAATCCAATCAATACCATCCCATCCTAGCTCTCTATCCATTTTAGTATTGTCCACCCAGTGGTCTCTTTCATTCTGGCTTTCCCACCAATATCCTATATGCATTCCTCTTTTATCTCATTCGTGATACATGCCCTGCCAATCGCATCCTCCTTAACTTGATCATTCTACTTATACTTGGAGAAGACTCAAGTTATGAAGCTCCTCATTATGCAGTTTTCTCCTACCTCACATCACTTGATCTCTCTTCGGTCCAAATATTCTCCTCAACACCCTGTTCTCGAACACCCTCAGTCCATGTTCTTCTCTTAATGTCAGTGATCAAGTTTCACACCCATACAGAACCACATGCAAAATTATAGTTTTGTATATTCTAGTTTCTATGTTTTTGGACTGCAGACGAGAAGACAAAAGATTCTGGACTGAATAACTTGCAAGCATGCAACAAAAAAAATTCACTCATGGCACATAATTAGCAGTCTGCTGAGAATATAAGAGAGGGTGTTAAGAAAATCTGTAATTCTTCAGTAGAGATAATATTAATGATAATGAAAATGTTAAGACTTCTCCTTATATATTTCAACAGTTATGAAGATATTACAAGTATCTGTTAAAATAACCTTCTTTTTGCACTTTCTAAACTCTCATAATGTCAAAACAAGTTCATTATAATATTTACTTCAGCCAAATGTTTTAATGCACTTATATAATTAACAGTGCTGTCACAGCTGAGACTGCGAAGTGCCAAATGGCGGAATTGTGAATGATAACTTTCAAAGGATGTGGATTTATACTATTTATAGTTTATTTCATGATGCTGGTCACTCACAGCTATACAGCATGGAATGACTGGATAACAACTGGAAATGAAATGGGTGAGAGCACTCTTGGGTTAATTTAAGGTGGAAGGGGGAAATCCCACACACAAAAAACCCATCAGATATTGTCCTGGCCAAGATTAGAATTGTGAATCTCTTGAATACAAGGCAGGAAGCAGGCATGAACTAACTGCAAGTACTATACTGGCATTCACCTGGAAGAACTATGGAATACCACAAAAAACTATGCCAAAATTAGAACCTCACATACCTATGCAAGTTACATGCTTCTCCAGCCCACAGATTTATATGTAATTCTGTTTTCAATTGCTTCATTTCCTTCTGAGATGGCAGGTAAGCTTTACACTTTCATACTTCACACCTAAAAGATATGCTGTTACAATAATGGGCAACGCATAAGGCCGGCTGCGAATCAGAGCCATTAACTTAGATGCATGGAATTGAAAAGGAAAAATAGTCTAAAAACAGAGAAAGCACCGAACTTCAAGATGGCTCGAAACACTCCGCAAAAACTTAACTGTTCAGTATATATGTTAGGAAAAACTATTAAATTACTCACCAAATGTACAAAGAGCCAACACGATCACTGGACAAAGACACTTCATTGCAGCTGGTAACTCTGAAATTGACAAGACTTCAAAAGAGCACACGCCCGAAGGTAGGCCTATCCTGACGATGCAGCCTACGCGTGAAACACGTAAATGAATACACTTCAAATTCAAAGTTCTAAACCAAAAACATTATTAGCAAGTTGGCACAGTATAAAAATCTTGACGCTAACGCTACTAATAAGTTGAAAACAAAACTAAAATGGCAGCCGAATTTCAGGCAAAAGATTCACAACACACATTTCCAGTCTCCATTTCAGAGCAAATATAAAATGAAACAATACTCAACTATTATTACAATATTAAAATTAATGTATTGATCTCACTGACTAAACAAACCTTCCAAGAAACAATTCGATTCTGACTCAACGATTTACACCATTTACACCTATCTACACCCATCTACACGATTACATGATCACCCCCTCTGTACCTCTGTTTCCCCTTCGTTAATGGTGGGAAATATGGCCGTGGTGACGTCACGATGCATTACTGCTGCCATCTCTACGCAGACCTACCCTAACTAGATGAGAACTGGCCACCAGCACCGACAATATGATCAATAAAATAGAATGCTACCATACCATCCTTAGCGTCCTCCCCTCCCCCCTCAAACCCTCTTCTCACAACGGGAACCCTCAGTACACGATTTTTTTTTATTGCTAGTGGGGTGGGACTAAGTCCCGTGTACTACGGCCACTTCTGACCTATTGTACCAGCCCTAGATGATAGGTGAGGGTGATTATGGAACAATTGGAGGAATGAAGATTGGCAGGGGAAACTGAAGTACTCGGAAAAAACCTGCCCCAGCGCCACTTTGTCCACCACAAATTCCACTTGACCAGACCCGGGATCGAACCCGGGCCGCCGTGGTGGGAAGCCAGCGACTAACCGCTTGAGCCATGGCGCGGCCTTCCAGTACATGATAACCACAAACATCGTCGGGTGGTAACCACAGATTAAAATTACCATTATCCGGCCGTTTCTTCTGTGTAATCGTCCCGCCTCAAGGACCGATCACTGCGACTCCACGGATCATCTACATACGTGCCGGCGCTGAACCAAAAAAGTCAGTCATGTTGCGACTGGCGGTCAGTCAGTTTGTCTTGGCGCTGAACCTCTAACGGACGAATGTTATATATATCTACAGCAAGTAGTTGAGGAGCTATGCTACAAGCCGAAAGGTCGCGGGTTCAAGTCCCGATGATGTCATTGGATTTTTTCAGTTGACCTAATCCTTCCAGCCGCACTAGGCCCTGGGGTTTACTCAGCCTCTAACAGAAATGAGTACCAGGAATTAATTAAATAATTTTCCTGGGGAGTAAAGCGCGGCCGGCGCGTAAGCCTGACAAACTTACCGCCATCTTTGAGCCGATTGACTAGACAATGTGGGACACTCAACGTCTCACAACCCTATGGGCCTTCCCGGCCTGGTACGGGGATAGTTTTTTTTTTACAGCCAGTAGCACCCAGTGTCGGCCGAATGTTATAGTTATGTGAGACAGGACACGTGCTCCTTTTGGGAGTGCTGACAGTTTGATCTTGTGTTTGAAACCAAAACAAACCCACGCAAGTTCATGTCAGAGGTTCATTTGTTAGCTCTGAACAATGATATTGTTTATCACAGTCCTGGTTTCGATAATATTTACATTTAGATATGATTGTTTATGACCTGGTCAGCCAAATAGAGCCCAGCTTTGTTTTGATAACTGAGGAGTAATAATATTCATCTGTTCTTGCATGTTAGTGCTTCTAGAGCTTTCTAGGAAGTGTGACGTATTCAAGGATTGGTTTTCAGTAGAGAATTATCAGTTAGGAAGTCAGTGTCGGATTGTCATATATTTCTTTACCAGCTAGAAAGTCAGTGCAATTACTGAAAGGCGACAGACACGGATCGCCAACTTGCCAAGCATGGAGTACTTATAAAGCTTATTAGCATCTCGACCATCTCGACCACAGTAACACCATATAGGAAAAGCACGATAAGAGATGAAAATTCCCAATACAAACACTGGATCGAGTTTATTTCGTGAAGCTAAATACCCAAATGACTCACATATTAAAATATTTACCAAATAAAGACTTTTTTTTTCTTCATGATCATTAAACAAAGTTAACAGACCCAGGAGGGTCGCGCCATAGCTCGCGCGGTTAGTCGCTGGCTTCTCACCGCGGCGGCCCGTGTTCGATCCCGTGTCTGGTCAAGTGGGATTTGTGGTGGATAAAGTGGCGCTGGGGTAGGTTTTCTCCGAGTACTTCGGTTTCCCCTGCCACTCTTCATTCCACCAATTGCCCCGCAATCACCCTCACCTATCGTCTGGGGTTGGTACATTAAGCCAGAAATGGCCGCAGTACAAGTGATTTAGTCCCACCCCACTAGCAATAAAAGAAGAAACAGACCCAGGAATTCAAAACCGCATTTTCATAGGAGCAATTGTGGATTTAAGGAGCTTGGATGAGACTGGAAATATTTAATACAGAATAGTCGATGTCATTATGAATGTTCCACGAAATCGAAAATTTACTTACCTTTCCAGGCTCACTCCTCAGTCATAGGAAGTGAGAAATTTGTGTGAGTCTAGGGAATGGATGGGGCTAAATGTCTCAGCTGGGGAAAAAATATGTGGAGAGCCCTGTTGCCCTAGGATACGTTGAAATCCCGGGTGGTCACACTGCGGCTGCTAAGGTAGGGTTCGATTCGGAGTGCTCTGTAGCAGGTATGAAGCCTGCTCAGGCAGATGTGATAGTTAAGGAGCATTCCTCAGATATCAAGTACCCTCACGGATGTACAGGAATTCGTAAATTATTGAGGAGGGCACAGAAAGAAATTAGCATTCTGAGCGAGGAAGCACGTGAATGTCTCATTGCCTTAGCAACAAGAAGCTCTTTCTCTATTCGGTCCGCGCTACTGCATAGTGTGGCAGATGTTCAACTTTCGAGTCTTAATTTCTCGTAAGTCGTTGGTGAAGGTGTGTAGTAATGGCAGACAGTGTGGAATCGGCCCCAGCGGCAGCAAATCCTTCGCAGGCTATACAAAAGAAGGCCAAGGCTTCTGCGAAGAAACCTCGTACGAAACCAGTGCATCCACCTACGTCTGAAATGGTAGGAAATGCTATCAGGAGCTTGAAAGAAAGAAGTGGGTCCTCATTGCAGGCGATCAAGAAGTACATAACGGCGACCTACAAAGTTGATTCCGAGAAGTTGTCTCCGTTTATTAAGAAGTACCTGAAAACTGCAGTTGCTTCTGGTGAATTGGTGCAGACTAAGGGCAAGGGAGCGTCTGGGTCGTTCAGGCTCGCAGCCGCCAAGCCAGAGAAGGCTGCTGTTTCTGTTGCGCCGGCGCGTGGCAGTAAACGTTCCTCAGGACCAAAGGAGAAGAAGAAGCCTGTAAAGTCGAAACCGAAAACTCCCAAGAAGGTGTCAGTGAAAAAAGTTCCGGAGAAGAAGAGGACGTCTCCTGGCAAAGGCAAGAAACTGCCATCCAAGGCTAAGAAGGTTGCCAAGGTGCCAACGAAGAAGCCCAAGGCTCCGCGACCAAAGACTGCAGCTAAGTCGAAGGCACCGAAAAAATCTAGCCCTAGGAAGAAGTGAGGTTATTCAACGGAAGGATGTAGTTGAGGTACAATAGGTAAAACCGGTCCTTTTCAGGACCAACAATCTTATCAAAGGAGTGGGAAGCAACTTTCACAAAGAAAACATTGGTCATGAGCCCCAAGACAGACTGACCGACCGATAGTCTGAATATGACTTTGTCTCGATTAAAGTAAGAAAATAAAAGTAATATAAAAAAAGCCAGATGGTTGATGCATATAATAGCACAACTCAATCTTTTTTTTGTTCATAGAATGGACAGAAAGTATTGCACTTATGCCATATCCTAAGATCTGGGAATTCCAAAAACGTAAACAGGTATGCTCGCCTTCTCGGAGCGGAAACGCCTAACGAAATGGTTAACTGAAAAATTGTTTCCTGAGTTTTTCCGCCGCCTTTTTAATAACTTTCAGTGTTCCTCGGTTCCATAATCGGAGTGTACGGAATAAAACAGTTTCCTTCGAAAGTTATATTATTTTGGCAGTTCCATACTCCGGCAGTTACAAAATCCAGTTACTATTTTTCGATAACTAAGCATTACATTTCGTAATATCTTGAACTTCCATTAGAAAGAGATTAATTGCTTTCAGTAGTATTCGAATGCCCTCGTTGTGCATAAGGAAAATGTGAAGCAGTTCCGGAGGAAAATATAATTCCTGGAATGGTCTTGTGAAAGCAAAATTTGCCTACCTGTTTTCTATCGACTGCTAGCGCCTTCCAAATACGGTTTTTGTAAATCTAAGCACTTCGTGATACATTGGCGCCACTCACGGAAAGACTTGAAAATCGTTTTCTGAATACCTTGTAGTAACTTTTGTCACGTTGTGTTGGGATGTCTGAAACGTTAGCAATTTTTTTTTTTCATTTTGGAAATAGCCAAAAATCGTACGGGGCTAAACCGGGTTTATGATCCATTTTTGTAATGGATATCATGGCAAGAAACTCGCGAATTCTTTTAACGCATCATGCGCAGGGGCATTGCCATGGTTGAGAATCCACGAAAAGTTTACATTGAATAGCTTATACCCATTATTCCATTGCATTACCAAAGAATGGGACAAATGGCAATGTAACTACTCAAGTAAGACGTCTTAAAGAACCACTTTCTGCCGCAAATCTATATGGCATTAGACATTTTTACCCAACGAGTACTTTTAATTTCCACTTTATTACAATATAAAACTGCAATGGCGTCAAATTGCAAGACTACGCTAATAACATCGAAATTCCGAATTCACAAAAGGAACGATCTAAAGCCAAGTCGCAAGATTAACAGGAACTAAAATTCGCTTAATGTAAATGGCAATTATGTACAATACACAGGGAAAACGTGCCTTGTTCTCGCAAACTCAAAAGTCGTACAATATAATTTGGCTTCCGATATATCAGAAAGTTTTCTAATTCATCATATGAATTCATATCATACAACGCTCACTCCAAACAAATATTTGTGGTCCTGAAAAGGACCGTTTTTTTTTTGTCACTATCTGATTACTTTGCGCTCGTGTACTTTGTAACCGCCTTCGTTCCCTCACTGACTGCATGCTTCGCCAACTCTCCGGGCAGCAATAACCTTACAGCAGTCTGAATTTCCCTACTAGTTATTGTAGATCTCTTGTTATAATGGGCCAGTCTAGACGCCTCAGCCGCGATTCGTTCAAAGATGTCATTAACAAAGCTATTCATTATGCTCATAGCTTTCGAACTGATACCAGTATCAGGATGAACCTGCTTCAAAACTTTATAGATGTAGATGGCATAACTTTCCTTCCTCTTTCGCTTCTTCTTCTTATCACTTTTAGAAATATTCTTCTGCGCCTTACCGGCCTTCTTTGCAGCCTTGCCAGACGCTTTGGGAGGCATAGCACTGAAGGTATCTCACAACTCAACTGACGTACACAACAGAACACTAACACTAAAATTTACGCAACGTCCTAGTTTTATTACGAGTGTGAGCGCGTATGGTCGACCTCATTGGCTCGTTAGCAAAACGTCTCGGTTCTCAATGTCATTGGTTCGGTTGACCTGCTATTCGGTTCATATAAAAGAATGATGAACTCGGTTCCTGATTGGCTAGGTCCTGTTTCCTCCAAATGAACAAAAGGACACGTGCTGCCAGGCCTCGAAAATTTTTGTGGTGTACTTTCATTCTGCTACATACGTTGTGAGAGATGTCAGGACGTGGAAAGGGCGGTAAGGTGAAGGGAAAGTCAAAGTCTAGGTCCAGTAGGGCTGGACTACAGTTTCCGGTGGGTCGTATTCACAGGCTTCTGCGTAAGGGTAATTATGCAGAGAGGGTAGGCGCTGGTGCACCGGTTTATTTGGCTGCTGTAATGGAATATCTTGCTGCTGAAGTTCTTGAGTTGGCAGGCAATGCTGCACGCGACAACAAGAAGACCAGAATTATCCCACGTCACCTCCAGTTGGCCATTCGCAATGACGAGGAGTTAAATAAACTTCTGTCTGGTGTTACGATCGCACAAGGTGGTGTCTTGCCTAATATTCAGGCTGTTCTGTTACCAAAAAAGACGGAAAAGAAAGCTTAAATTTGACCTCGCAAAAACGGCCCTTATAAGGGCCCCAACTTGTGTAGGGGTGTTTGTCGTTTTGATGCACGGTTTAAGGTACAATGGCAAACTTTAGTTCCTAGACTGGAGCAGCGCAAATGAGAACGAATTTGCCCCAAAGTTTCCTTTCTCTAATAAACGCCCTGTCGCAGTAATATCGATTTCGAGTGTCTTGTTATTAGTATTTCCTTGTTACATGATCTATATAGTCTTTTAAAAATGATTGCACCGTTTGTCAAAATTTCGTATCAAAAAGTGTAATTGACTGTCAGTCTTGGGGTGTTGAGCCCCAAAATTACTCTTTCGTATCGCTTGTGAACGTACCTTAATTTACATTGCGAGGCATTTTTGCTCGTGGGCTGGGGCACGACACGAAGACGGTCTGTTAGTCGTTATGTGACTATTAATGCTAGGGAGAACAAAATAAATTTTATCCTGAGACTGAAAGCCGCTGTGCAAGCCAACGTCTATATTGCTGCCGTGCTGAAACATTCGCAATACATTTACATACTTGCGTACTTGTGGAAGTAACGACTGAAATCTACAAGTCATGTTGCAACTGACGGTCAGTCTGTCGAGCCCCAGATATTTCTTTTGAATGAAATTACTGTCTTGTCTATTGTCGTGACCCAAGATGGTGGCGGGTCGACTGAATTATGTTGGCCGAGCGGTAGCGTAATAATTCAGTGATGGTGATGGTCAGTTGGCTGCTGGAGCGGGTATTCCAACCACAAAGAGCAAATACTCACTACAGATAATAGAGGATTTATTGATTCTTAGTGTATATTACATACAAGCGCTGGTGGACGTAAGCCTGGCCAGCCTTCTCGTAGCCCCAACCCAGACAAAATGCGCCCTTCAGATTCCCTCTGTTTCTTAAAACCTATCTAAAACTAAACTTTCAGTCCAGTGTCTCGAGACATGAACCCTCACGCAGCTCAGATTACGCCAGCTGGTGTTAAAAGATAGGTCCCAGACGAAACACTCCAGGACCCCCCTAATCTATGGAATGGCAAGGGTAAATATAACAATTTTTTGTTGAGGTAGCAGGTCAACCTCTTAACGTTCTGTAAATTTAGTAGAGGGCATGACCCAAGACATCAGACTCAAGTTCCTAAAATTAAAAGATTTTAAAAAGGGTTGCGAACCCCGCAACACTATGTGGGGCGCCCTCTGACGAGAGGTCGGGTCTGTCATTTGTCAGTATTTCTATGTACAATATATACTTGGGCCCTGTCAATGCAGGCTTTGTATTTACATACATTTACAAATACACTTGTTCCTTACTCCTAAGTACAATATATACAAGGCCTCTGTCCAGGTCAGTACAGCAGATTATGCCCTATTTCTAGTATTATTCGCTACCACGGCAGTCTAGTCACTTGATGCCTGCATAATTTTCTTATACCTTATATACGTACGGGATTTTGAATGTCATGTGGAAACCGCAGACCGATGTGCGCCTAGGAAAATTGCCAATCGTGCGGAGAAGCCTGATTTGCAGGCGCTGCAGTTTCGCTAGATGGGTGTCTGCCGCAAACTCCCAGGCGGGACTAGCATGTCATTACAGATCTAGTAAGAGCTTTGTGGAGGGTCAGTTTAATGTTAGCGCTCAATCGCTCTTTTGAATAGGGAATATACACTAATGAATCTTCTGGAGGCCTTGGCTTCGATCGTTTGTGTAATCCTCATGTCACTATCTTTTAGAAGATTACACATATATATTTTGCACTATGAAATCTACGGCCTCGTTGCTGTACTGTACCGTGTCCCAGTTGTGAAAGAGAAACTGGAGGGTGTGGCAAAACCACGTGATTTGCCTCTAGAATAAGTGATGTGCAGGGGGGTTGTGTAGCAAAAGCCAATGCTTTCTGCGAAAAATGTTTCGCTACGGGATTTCCGGCAACTTGTCAGTTGATCAAAGCACCCTGCAGTACAGAGACCGTAGTCCTTACAGTTTGCTTGCTACGGGTCTCAACCCATCCGTTGTAGAATACAGTAATAAAGATTACCATTTAATTTCATTTGTAAACAGCAAACCATCCTTTGAAACAGTTGTTGGTCCTGAAAAGGACCGTTTGTGCTGCGTAACTCGTTACGCGCCTATCATATGAAGCCTCTAACCTCCAAATCCATACAAAGTACGGCCCTGTCTCTTCAGAGCATAAACCACATCCATTGCAGTGACAGTCTTCCGCTTTGCATGCTCAGTGTATGTTACGGCATCGCGTATAACATTCTCCAGGAAGACTTTCAACACGCCACGCGTCTCCTCATAAATAAGGCCAGATATGCGCTTCACACCGCCACGACGAGCCAGACGCCTAATAGCAGGTTTCGTAATGCCTTGGATATTATCCCGCAGAACCTTTCTATGCCTCTTCGCCCCACCTTTACCCAAACCTTTTCCACCCTTGCCACGACCAGTCATCTTCAGCAACCTCTCAGTTCAAGCTTACTCTGACTTTACAGATAACCTCCGAGAGATAAAATTCTCCGGGCCCCAGATCCCGACTCTTATAGTCTGTCGGCTATTCCAATTGCCCAATCGGATTTCTGCTCCTCAGTGGGGCGGAGCAAACTTGCGCATATTGATTGTCAATTTCAATTCGCCAAGTACGTTTCTCTTGCCCAATAGGATTTTCGCTCCTCAATAGGGCGGAGCAAACTTGAGATGCAATGCCTATAAAAATGAGCAAAATTGGTTTCCTGGATTCAGTCAAAGTTTGACAGTCCTGCTCTATAGGGAGAAAGAGTATTGTGGTAGTATGGCTCGTACGAAGCAGACAGCGCGTAAGTCAACTGGAGGTAAAGCGCCGAGGAAACAATTGGCTACCAAAGCAGCGCGGAAGAGTGCTCCAGCTACTGGTGGTGTGAAGAAACCACATCGTTATCGCCCTGGTACAGTTGCATTGCGGGAGATCCGCCGGTATCAGAAGAGCACTGAGCTGCTCATACGTAAATTGCCTTTCCAGCGGCTCGTTCGTGAGATTGCCCAGGATTTCAAGACTGATTTGAGATTCCAAAGTTCGGCAGTGATGGCATTGCAAGAAGCTAGTGAGGCTTATTTGGTGGGTCTTTTTGAAGACACCAACCTTTGCGCAATCCATGCGAAGCGCGTTACCATCATGCCCAAGGACATTCAGCTTGCTAGGCGCATCAGAGGTGAACGGGCATAAGAAATACAAAAACAAAAACGGCCCTTTTCAGGGCCACCATTTGAATCGTAAAGGAGAAAGTTTAGCAGATTTCATGCCTAATTCGTTGGCTCATTAAGGCATGAACGTTTAGGCCCATACGTTAAAGCCACCCTGACGGCAGACGTAAGAACCCAACACGTCAACTGAATGGGTTTGTGGTCATCCCACAAGATTGGGCAGGAAGCTTTTGCATGGCCCTTTTCGGGTTTTGTCTTTGGTACTTTATGTGCGAACCTGGATGCGTCCTGCGAAATGTAATCGTTACAGCGAGCGTGATGTATAATTGTAAATGCATTGTACTTACTTTTTTGCATATTTTACATAGTTGTGCTTTTTTCTACCCCTCAAAACAAATGTGCATTGTGGAGGTAAATTAAAGGCGGGTTTACACTGAGCCAACCGCGTCGCACACGGCATGCTGCAATTTACTTGCAGGTAGTGGGTAGCGCAATCGCGTGCGGCTTGGTAGTTGCTCCAGGCCGCAAGGTTATGTGCAGTGGGTTCAGCTGCCTAGTCGCATGCGGCGTGATGAGTTGGGACACGGATAAAGCGAAGTGTCTTCTCGAAGAATACTTTGGGATTTGCAGGATCCCAATTAGACAATCGGAAGAAGTTGAAGCTTTGGAAGGAATTGGCCACGAAGTTTGAATGTTCGGTGAAGGAAGCGAAAGAAAAGGTTAAAAATCAGATTCTGAAAAGGTACACAATGAATATGAGTCCAGTAGCCAAAAGTCTAATTGTACACTCCAGTTTCACTTCAGGCGGTACTCTACCTCGAAAATTTGTATCGGATTTTAATATGAGAGGAGCTACCATTTAAATTCATATATATGAAATGATATGTTAATGCAACAGGATGCTTAAATACAATATGAAAAGTAAATATTGGGTACATCCGTTTTGGAAAATTTTAAATTGAGTCTCTTGTATTGTTTCAAAATAATTTAACCTGGATCCAAACTCCTGTCTCATGAGAAATTCTTTCCTAAGCAAAATCTATTTTCTCCTGCCTAGCATAGTCTGGGTGGTGTCTGTTATATACCAGGCCCTTGCTCAATTAACTGTAGAACAAGTGTAGCAAGTGAACACCAAAAAATTAAAAGAAAAAAGACCGACCACTCCTTTTATCATTAAGGACCAAGGAAGAGGGGAAAAAAAAGGTCTCGACTCGAAAGAAAAATATGGGCATGGGTACCAGCGGGGCCCGATGCCAGGAGTGACTGCCGGCTGATTGTCGGCAGTAAGCCTCTGCTCTTTCCTGCCAGTTTGGAATGTAGTGTCTTGGAGTGTGGTCAGGTGGTATAATGCTCTCCTGGTCTCCGTAGGCAGTTATCCGCTTGGGGTGTAGCTCTGAACGTCACCACAGCAAGCGTACAGCTTCGCATGCTCCACAACGGCGTTTACCTTACCGCGCGGCTACGAGGCACTAACTATAATGGACTATGGATTCTTACATCATAGAAGACAGCTAATATCAATGCATCCTTCAAATGAACTATGCTATAAAACATCTAATAATGGAAAACCGTTTATTGTACTATATGATCTTCTGGGTTTAAGGTCATCTAGTTTGGATAGGGCTTGAAGCCTTCTGCTGGTTCCTTGCTTGGTCTACTCAGTGACCCTGAAGGTAGGGTGAAATGTTATTCTGAAACGTTGATCTTTCTTCAAACTACTCTGTTTACAATCCATAAGCCTGTAAGTTCAATTTTCTACCTGCTTCAGTTAGTTTCTGCTTAACTTACGCTTTGACCCTGAAGATTTGGGCAGTATGTTCCTCCAAAATGTCAGGGTCTCTGAACTATATAGTGTTACATCCCAGAAGATTGTACTCTTCAGTCACCACCATGAGAATTTCAAATCCATAAATTTATTTTTAATAGAGCTGGTATAAATTCATGCCTACTCTACTAATGAATTTATTTTAGCAAGAAATAATAAATAAACTATTATTGTGTCTAACTGCAAATTTCTTATAGCCTGTAGAAGAAGGAAATGGAAAGTAAAGTCCCCGTGCTTAAACATCCCAAAATATGTAAGGCAGTGGGAGTATACCTCCATGCATTCTGAACCTGGGCTCTAGAAGAAAGTGACCACTTTACCACTGGAGGAACTCCTTGGGTCCACATATCAGGCTAGTTGGACCCCAAAGCAAGTCTGGATGTGATGCGAAGAGGAATATATCACCCTCTGTTGGGAAACAAACCCTGGTAGACCAGCCTGCAATGAGTCATACTGAACGAGCTGCCTCAGTTCCCAGCTTACGACTGAAATCTAGTTGTTCAGCCAGTGGCCAATCACTATGCTGACCTACCTTAGTTAACTTCTAATAATCAAAACAATGTCCAACCAGTAGTTATGATGACTGTGCAAACCTGACTCAACTCTTATATAACAGAATGACATCATTCAGCCAGTAGGCAGACAGTGCTCTCTGTGCTATTCCAGCTTAATTATTATAAGTGAACTCCAGCTGTCCAGCCAGTAGCCAAGATACTATACAGTTCAGACCTCTCTGATTAACTTCTTATAATCAAACTCTGGTCATCCAACCAACAGTCTTAGGATGCTGAGCACTTGAAAGTTGTGCTGGTTTCAAACATCTGCCAGTCAACATTACGGGATGGTGTAACAAAAAGATGTGAATAATGATGTAGTATTGTGTGGTATACTTCAACACAATGAATGTAGTAGCAACAGTGAAAATTTCATCAAGAGCAATGAATGTGTCAGCTCTGATGACAAAATGTCAGTAATGTTTACCATCATATGTGGGCAGAGTTAGGTGATGAGCAACCCTGTGTTCAGTCTAATGGGAAGTCTGGCCTAAACGTTGATTTGAAGATCCAAGAAATCTAGTGGTAAATTCTCATTCGTTCATTACGTCTGAAGTTGCTGAACTAATAAGTGCAGAGAACATATTTTAGAAAACATACCCATTCCAAAATTAAAATCCAGGCTCCACCACTGGAATGACAAGAACAGAAATGAAATAATGAAGTTAATAACATGCCTTCTGTTACAAGGATTTCACCCGAAACCAGGTAACAGAAAACATACTGCTTCCCATCTTCAGGACTGAAGAGTTTGCCAAGCAAACTACAGCAAGTAGCAAGCACACCAATGGTATGAATGAATGAATGAATAAATGTATGAGGTGGGTCTCAATGATCTGGTCCTTGCACTGCGACCTTCAATGATCTATTGCGCTTCTCCCTTTGATTAACCCTTTATTAATCCTACACTTCAAATTAAATGTAGGACCTTGTTCATGGGAGCGTCACAGTAGTCACTTGGTTCCACAAAGAACTGGTCCAGGTGACAAAATCTTAAATAAGCTATAGCCTCACAATCACATAGGACACGTGTGGCTGATTCCTTTTCTTCTAGTCACCTTCGCAAGTGGGGTCATGTGTCAATCCCAGATTGAAAAGTTTAGAAGACAATGTCCCGTAAACAATAGTACAACCCCAGTAACAATGGTAGTAGTACTGACTTGTCTCCCCCTCCAGAGAGAGAGAGAGAAAACAGCCGCAAAATGCAACATAAAAACACTGTAAACACTGTACACCCCTAGCAGGATGGAACTGGAGATTATTCTGTCACATAACCTTCCCTTTCATTTGTTTCATCACTTCTACTCCACTTCATGAGATTTGTCGCCAGGTCTGTCTTGTCTTTGGGCAATCTCCGTCTGTTGCAATTCATACTTGAAAATTACATGTTTTACTGTTTTACATTAGTTTGTGTATGAGGGTTGAGAGAGACATGAACTGGAACTAATAAGCAGTTACAGTCAGAGAACTGCCAGGGTTCAGTCATTGTGAGCTGTTGCTGTTAGAATCTAGCAGCTGAGTCTTGGGCCAGTTCAGCAGCCAGAGGAAGGGGAATGTCCACTGTTGGAAGCCACTACCAAGCAATGGCTAGTGAAGATGTGACTGTGGACACTATGAGTAGTGTGTGTGTGTGTAATAGTGCAATGTACGGTGTAGTCACATGTTGTATCAAAGTGAGCAATAAACTGTGTCATCAATCCCAATCCCAGATGAAGCTCCATTAATGAAAATAAAAACACACTACTACATATAACATCTGGTACTAAGTTCAGTAATATTTTCATTTAAATATCAGAATAAAGTAAAATTTCACAATTATTCTTCCCATTTAATAATAATGACCATGATTCAATACAGCCTAAAGAGAGATTTCATGTACAAATGTGTGTATGATGGATTAAGTATGAAAATCCTATATATATATATAATTAAAAATCCATCGGCCATAACTGGTCCAGTAATAACATAAGTAGATGGTGCACTGTCAAGTGTGCGCCAATTGTCTACAGAAAATGTGGGAGTCTTGATGTCTCACAACTTTATGGGCCTTCAAGGCCTGTTACAGGGAAAGCCTTTATGCACGCACGCACACACACTCATTAAAGAGTCCAATGGTCAAGATATCCTTCATAAAGAAGCCCAACATCCGCTTTTCTCTCCACCCCCTGAATTCACAGTCTTCACAAGTTCCTTCCATTTGCTTCAGACTTGGGGATTTCAACTGTATAGTTCTGTTCATCTCTGAAGTACAGCTCCTGCATTACAGAGCTGATATGTTCTTGAAATTCTGTAATTCAAACCCTTGTTTTCCTTTGATATTAATGGTACAAATGGACATCTTCTTACCAAACAACTAGGACACACGTTGAAAGTTACATACTTTAAAACTGAATTATTCTAAAACTTCCCATGGTTTTTCAGGGCGATACTGGTCATAAGGTCGATGAGGATAGAACCTGGGGGGTTCCGACAATGTCACACCACCTTCTTCCACACAGGAAATAAATGCTTCAACCTGACAAAAGATAAAACATACAGATTGATATTCCATTGTGTATCAATCTGCCAAAACAATTGTAACAAATGTAAGACCTGAAGTTTTCATAAAACTAATGCAATCGGCCATATAAGATAAACAGAATCAGCAGAGTGCTGTCTCGGCACAACATCAAATCAGTGGGCCTGCCTCCCAAGAAATTATCTAGTTTCCTTCATCTGGTCAAAGATAACCTGGGTCTAAGGACACCGGGTGTATACGGAATCCTCTGTGTGTGTGTGTGGCAAGGTCTACATTGGGCAGACAGGCCATTCTGTGGACATGAGTTTGAAGGAGCATCAGTGTCACATACATCTTGAACATCCAGACAAGTCAGCTGTGGCTGAACACAGCGTCCATTTAGGACACNTGGCACAACATCAAATCAGTGGCCCTGCCTCCCAAGAAATCATCTAGTTTCCTCCATCTGGTCAAAGATAACCTGGGTCTAAGGACACCGGGTGTATACAGAATCCTCTGTGTGTGTGTGGCAAGGTCTACATTGGGCAGACAGGCCATTCTGTGGACATGAGTTTGAAGGAGCATCAGTGGCACATACATCTTGAACATCCAGACAAGTCAGCTGTGGCTGAACACAGCGTCCATTTAGGACACCGCATTCAGTTTCACAATACCTCCATCCTCGATACCAAGACCCAATACATGGATTGCCTTGTTAGTGAGGCCATTGAGATTGAGCTCCATCCCAACAGTATGAACAGAGAGGTGAATTTTTGTCTCAGAAAACAATGGAAGCCTCTCATCTGCTCTCTCAAGAGACCTCCAGAACATGACGCCAGATCTACATGGATACACATGNTTCCCACATGGACTACTCTCCCTCCCTTCCTGTTCCTCAACTGGTCACTCAGTCTGCAGCCACCTGCTCAGATTTTTTTCTTTCTTTCTTCTACCCTGAATTAGAGCTCATATGTTCCTCTGAAACATCAGTTTATACAATATTTACATGGCGCCACATCCCAGAAGATGGCATACTTCCATATTATTAATTGATGAAAACTTTGAATATGTTGATTTTAAAAATTAAACACCTATTCTACACAGACACACACAAAGTTAAGAAGGGAGGCATGATGAACTATTTGTTTGGTAAGCTGACAGGCACAATTATAGTTTGGAAATCACTGAATTAAGGGTGGTTTTTAATTTGTTTTAAGTGGGTATCAGTAGTGTGAAATCATTAGCACTCTTTCAGCAAACTGAGTTTCATTTTCCCTGGTTGCTGAAACTTCAGAGTAACAAAGTGAAACCAGTGTGCTGAGGCATGTTCCTGAGTTACAGTAAATGTCACTCATGATCAATATTAATGTGCCTTGAAAATGCTCCTCCATTTCCTCATAGAATATAATGACTTCCTAGAGAAGTATTCAGAATTCAATGTCCCCATCAAAATATTCCAAAGAAATTTCTCTGTAGCTACATATGGAACTGATCCAGCTAACCTTCCCTCATGGATGAGGCTTCAGGTCACAGCGAACTTCTGAAATCCCAGATTCCAAGCATCTCTGAGCAAGCACCCGTCCAAGGTTGATATAAGCAGATGTGTCATTAGTGCTGGCAATAGAAGAAGCATCTATACAATAAGCCACAAACATTTCCAGTGCCCAGACACATAAAATGAAATACTCAATATTCACACAACCAAGGTAAATTTGAAGCTGTCCTTCTGTTTAATTAAGCATCACACCATGAAGATGTACGAGGGAGTGAAGCTATAACTTTACCATTCTTGACCTGTGCACTAGATGGAGGTGAGTGGTCAGCTTCACGCCACTCCTGCTTTATTCCTGGGGAAACAGAAACAAGTACCCATTGGACAGGAGTGTGGGTGGGCCCTAGAGTTGGTCTGGATGCCATTTATGAGAAAAATCTTGCCCCTGCCAGGATGTGAACCCCAGCCATGCAGCCTGTAGCCCATAGTTACATTAAGTTAACAGTGTTTAAATTAGGAAAGGAAATGCTGTTCATCTTCTAATAAGACTTATTGTATATAATTATGATAAAAATAACTTTTTACATGTGAAGTTAAAGAAACTGTTTCTTCGTTAATAAATAATTACATAATCAATAATAAATTAATTTCTAACATTAATGACATAAGCAATAAACACTGGAACAGTCTCAGCTGAGAATCAAAGCAATTATGATCCCACAAGCATCATGGTTTTGATGTCAATATGTGATATCACTTGCCAAAAACTGCGGTTGTGCAATAATTTCTGGTAGGCATAAAATGATAATACTGATTGTTGTTTTTAAACACAACTGAGGTATAAGTTCTGGAAGGTAAAGATTTTCTTATCTCAATTGCAACTTATTTATTGAACACAAACTCGTTAACATAGAAAATTAATTATTCAGATTGTTCTTCAGCTGGGACCAGAAATACTGTTCACTGAATATGGAATTTCACTGTATTTCCACATCTTCATATAAGTAAAATATCCCACCTCAGGCTGACAAAAGGATTACAGAGACCTTTTTGAAAATGTGACTGTGTTTTCACTATATGCTTAAATGATGCATGTGTGCAGACTGCATATAACTGCTGTATGTTGAAACAGTGTTACCATTTCAACAACACTATGATTTTAACATCCTATAAGCCCTACACAAAATAAGAAAACAGAAGGCTAATTGGATGGGTCATATCTTACGCAGTAACTGCCTTCTAAAAATAAGTTATTGAAGGAAAGATAGAGGGGTGGATAGAAGTGATCAGAAGATGAAGAAGACGTAAGAAGATGCTGGATGACCTTGGGGACAGAAGAGGATATTCTCATTTGAAGGAGAAAGCTCTAGATTGCATTAAGTGGAGGAACTGTTTTGGAAGAGACTGTGGACCTGTCGTCTGACAGTTTACTGATGAATGAATGAAGCATAGCATTTAATGCAGACTCCTACATTTTGTTGTGACTGCAGAACTCTGAATATGATGCAACCATTTTACCTCTGTCACTACTCTCAGGTGATACATTATACGTATGTGGCCTATCACAGACGCATATGTATGTTTCATACTTTGTGATGCCCAGTCAGATTTATATTGTAAGATTAAATATCTTATTATTATTTTGTTAACTAGTATAAATGTTGGCAGATTCTATATCTATGTACATAGATCTCTGGAAGGCACATTAAATATGAATATGAATATACATACCTACAAATTCTGCATGAAAAGTTTTGTGTTAATAATTGCAAACATGACAGTGGTTTAAAATTCTCATGTAATGTTTAAGAACCTTCAAGAAGTGTAAACCTCTGTTACTTGGAAACATAGTACATAGATGTCTGTTACATAATTAGTAACCTATAACTTATGCTAGTCTTTACTGAACGTAGGTATCATAATTTCTTCCCCGATCTTATTTAGGACTGTGGCAGTTAGATCTAAAGGCATTTCACAGTTCATCTGTGTGTGTGTGTGTTTGTGTGTGTGTGTGGGGGGGGTAAAGCTATTCCTGTAATAAGCTGTGGAGGCTCATATGATTATGAGAAGTTCAGGCTCCAACATTTTCTAGACAATTCACTCATNACTACCTTGTGCCTCTAAGTACTTCTGTGTATAAACATATTACCTGTAAAGGAATTTCTTGAGCGCCCACTCTTTTGTTGAAGCAGTTATGACTTCTAGTCCTGAATGATGTACTATTTTTGCAGTCACATGACGTGAGCTTTGTTCCAATAGCAACCTGAAGAAAATCATACAGTGTTAGCAAGAAAAACAATTTGAAGGCCTCTGCAACATTTCTCACATAAACACTTTAAGTTCAGGAGGAACAAGCTCAAGTCAAGATGGAGATCACAAACAACGTTTTGTTTCTTGACAGGAAAAATGGTACAACATTACTTTAACCTCAAGCCAAATTTCTACCCTTCATCACAAACACAGTGGTTAATTACATTAATGTCATGCAGATGCTGCTTACATAAAAATTGTTTAATTGCTGGTATAAACATAACTGTCATTGTTACAGTTATGATTAATCCCATGCCAACGTGGAACATCACCATCAACTTGATCTTTACTATGAGTCACATAAATTCACAGAATATGAAAATAATCTGATGGGATAATGTGTTATATTGTCAGTGAAGTCAGTGATTTTTAGAATGATAATTCATGGTCAAAAAACAACACAACATAAAGAGTAGTTTGGCTGCTTTTTTACATTTTGCATCTCATGGAGAAAAACAGAGCTTATAAACCCTGTGACACCTATAATGCTGGTTTTTAGCCTACTTTCCTTATTCTGAAATAATCAAAGGAGACTTAAGGGATCAATTATACTTACTACATCATTTTTGCAACTATCTGTGGAACTGCTCCACTTTCTGCATATTTTCCCCTTATTATCTCAAGTGTCATATCAGAATTATCAAATATTATGTTTTTGGACATTATCCACTGTCTTGTTTTTATCTAAATACTTTCTGCTTTTTTTTTTTAACATATTTTGAAGACAGGATTCTGTCTCCGTCTTCAGACAAAACCTATCTCTGGATAGGGACTAGCTCTATCGATTGGGCCCAACTGAGTAGGTTTTACCTGAAGATGGAGACAGAATCCAGTCTCTGAAACACTGTGCTTTTAAAAATAAACTGTTTTTTTAGACAAAAACAAGATGATGGATAATGTCCAATACGTATTTATAACATGTTAAATAAGTGAAACAATGGTTACCACCTTGCATACATACTTATGCCAAAATTCTCGTCCTGGAGCTTCCAAGTGATAGCCAATGGGTTTGTAAGCAATTCGCAATCTTTCCAAATTTCTTGGGTTTCGGTTGTAAAATTCTGAGCATGCTTCATTACGCAAAATGCCAGTTGTCATGCTTGCTACAGAGAGAAATGAAGTCTTGAAAGGAATTTCAGCTTTCCGGGCCATAAAAGATGTAATGGATGCCATGCTTTAAAAGAAGAAGAAAATTACTTCAGAATCTTAAATTTGCTTATACATGTCTGGAAAGGGATCCAGAACTTTTAATTCATACATCACTATAGTTGTCCTATTAGATAAACAAATGTTAGTGCCTACAGACTTAAAAACTTAAATCTATTTAGTAAACAGAACCAGCAAATTACTAAGAGATATAAAGTTTGCTATTTCTCTGCAAAAACATCTAAGTGTTGATGAAAATATCTTGAAGATGGTTCATACAATCAGTGTAACCATTACAACTGATCAATCTTAACTTTTACATACATGGTAACCTTAGAAAGTTTTGGGACAGGACCCATAACTGAAATCCTTAGCCTCAGATGCCTTCAAAGTACTGACAATTGGCAGTTTAACATTGTTGTCTGTCTTCAACAGTTCTTCAAAACATTTCTGGAAGCAATCACATTCAACCTCCTGCAATGTCATCTTCAAAGCCACTTAAACTCCACATCATCAATAATATGGCCCTCTTATGTCAGCTTTATGAGATTTCAGGCTTGTACAGCAGCACAGACATACACTGTAATCTTCCGGGATACGACACCATGCAATCTAGTATGTGGCTATGAATATTTTGGATGAATCTGTTGTCTCCATTGTCAAGGTACAGCTTCTACTCAATTTTGATTGGCAGTTCTAGAAGGAGAGACAGCAGGTTCCTCATAAATGTTAGTAACCAATGTCAAAATACAGGAGACCACAATCCAACTCTTCAACTAGTCCTTTGTCTGGAGAAAACTGTAAAGATCACACACTGCAAGATCAAGGAAGTATGGTGGGTGGGGAATTACTATAGATTAGTGCTTGGCGGTAGTTGTGGCACAAGCAGTAGTTTATGTGCCAATTCAAACAAACCGTCTACCACAGACAGATCAACATTTCTTAATGACTGTTCAACTTTATGAAGAAACTTACAATGCACAACACACTTTGAATATATTTTCCCTTTCAAATGGTTCTGCTAGCAATGGTGGCAACACAGAGGACTGCCATCAACTTGGTGTTCATGCAGGTGTGGCAAATGCCCACAATCAAGCAAACGCTACAGTGACAATGCAAGTATCATTGCTTAGTAACGGCAAGTAACCAGCTTTCAACTTTTTGTATGTATAAGATTATATAACAAAATTGTGCAGATGACAAGCAGGAGTCATACAAAATCATGAGAGTGAACATGTTCGTGGTATAGGACAAGGTGAAGCTAGAGATAGAAAACATAAGAGGCTTAAACTTGGCGGTGGTCAAGCTTACGACTGTTCAAATGACTAAGTTGTTGTTGTAGCATAAGATATGCAAGTTAGGCATGACCTGCTCTGTAAAGCCTGTACTGACAGAGGATGTGTGTGTACTGCAAAAGGAAGAATTTTCAATAACATGTTATATGTGTGAAATATATACTTGATGAGAGATCAAGTGTATTTATAAAAGACAAACCCATGTTCTCGTTAGAGAGGTTGTTACATAAGGACTATTACTGCAAGAGCTCGTTCGGGGGGGGAAAAAATCTCTGGTTGTGGGCCTCAAGGGGCCTGATGCCAAGATGAACTGATTGGCGGTAAACCGCCAGTCGTAAAGTAACTCTGACTCTGACTCTAATAAGAAGAGGGGGTGCGGTGTGGGTGTTGCAAGCAGTAACATTGTTGGTGCTACACTCTTAGTCCTCAATTCTTCAAACCGAAGTTTGTCTGTGTATACTGTGCAACTAACATCCACATGTTTATATACTGCATTAATGAGCTCACAACTGATACTCATATCAGCATTCTTGATACAGTGTACTGGGAGATATAGTGTATCTTTAGATCCTTATCAATGTTGATGTGATAACTGTCAAATGAAATCCTCACTTCCTCTTCAGTCACCTCCACTATCAGTCCATGATATGAGGACACCTATTTTATACTATCTAACAGAAATGAGTACCGGGAATTAACTAAATAATTTTCCTGGGGAGTAAAGAGCTGATGGCACGTAAGGATGACAACCTTACCATCTGTCAGCCGACTGTCTAGATCAGCGATGGCCAACTGGCGGCCCGCGGGCCGTATCCGG